GAGGGACATCAGGAAGGGGGCGTTGCCTTGCTGCCTCGGAACCCGCAACCTCGAAGCCTTGCACAACGGTCCAAACCTAGCTGCCTCGGAGCCGCAGTCCACATCTAGAGCCCGAGCTCTCCTGCTGAAACCCGCTGCAGCGATAGAATGAGGCCCACGCTTTCCAGTCAGACTCCGCGAGCAGAGCCTCTGTGACCTCTTTATGAAAAGTGCAGTCTCTCACAGGAGCGGCGCCACTGCTGGAGGTGCTCTCTGGAACGATGCTAGGAATGCTGCTTCTGAGCAGAAGAGATCACTTGTATCCGCATTTGTATGGTGGTTGCACTCAGCTGAAGCTGAGTCGGTGGGGTTGCACAGAACATGCGTCTGCTCTGCAATGCTCGCAAGTCTTTCGTCGCATGTCAGTCAGTCGGTTGGTCGGTCGCTTAATTTTCAGTCAGTTGAGAAACTTGCCACAGGGCCACGAAGGAGCTTTTTATGTCGTTTGGGAGTCGAGAGGCAAAAGAAGGGGTTTAAAGGTTTAGGTTTATTTCCAAGCATGCCTGCGCCAACTGTACACGGAGCCTCATGGAAGGCATCGTTGCCGTACAACGTCGTCGCCGTCGTGCCGCGTCGTTGTCGTCTACTCTAGTGGGCACGCTGAGCTGCAGCCCAGGCTAATGACCTTCAAGCTCGGCGGTCTAGCGAGTGGAGGAGATACCCAATGTTTAGGATTCAGATGGGCCAATGCAACGGCGACGCGAGCCGGGCAGTTCAACTACGGCCTCAACAGAAGTCTCTGAAATGGCAGATGGCATGTTCAGGTTTCCGACAACACAGAGGCCACTGGTCTACAACACAAAGCCTGGCGGTAAAGCGAGTGAGGCGGACCTCTGCCGGATGACGTCAAGCCTCTGAATAGACATAGACACATAAGATTCCAGGAGATTTTTCAGGCTGAAGGTTCTGGTGTTGAATCAGTTTGAGACCACTAGGTTGACGAGAAGGACACGGACTGGCTTGCCCACGTCCCGGTCCGCATCACGGATACCCGCTAGCGAGGCCGCAACGTCGGCCGCCCCTACACTGTGATGACTTTCTTCCCGTCACCATGGTAAACGGCTTGCTGTCCGGCCAGTCCAGCGGGCCCTTGAGCCCATCGATCCCTTCCTTTTTTGGTTCGAAGCCGTGCCAGGAGCAGCGTCGGAATAAGAGCAAGTGCTCTCTCTTGTGCAGGTGCCCTTTCGCTCCACAGAACATCGTTCACGAGGAACCTGATAAAAAACGCAAGGATGAATCCTTTGTCGGAAGTTCTTCTGGCCTTGCGTTTTCTGCCGCAACAAGGCCAAAAAACATAATCAAAGCGTCTCAACACAAAAACACTACCAAAAAGAATGACTCAACACAAGAGAGCCAGCTTTTATTTTCGTTTTTCGGGTCTCTCAGATGATTAGAATAAGATCTGATTTACACTTGCCTCAGCCTTTGATGACCAGAATGACAAGAAGACAAGAATGACAAGCCTCAAGCTGGCCCGAAAATGAAAAGAAAATTATCTAATTGCTCTGTCGAGCAAGGGGACACCCGCATAAGATTTAAGAGAGAGAGCCAGTACACTGACAAATTTGTTTAGGATTCGTCGTTTTGTCATAGTGTCGTTGCAGACAGTTCGAATCCTATGTAAAGAGCATGAGGATGATTTCGTGGAAGGTGCTGTGGACACTGGCACGAAAATTGTTGCTTCGTGAAAACGCCCGTTTTTGATTGAAACAACATCCATAGTTTATCAGAAGTGAACAGCTTTGAACAAGCAACAAGAGTTTGGCCACTTCACACATATAGGTTGTGTAATGTCACCAAGCACGATCGTTTGAAACATGGCCAAAGTAAGTTCTGAACTTCAACGTGCCACGGTGTGAGCCAAAAGCTCCGTCCGAACGTTGTTCGGGCCGAATGACCCGTGTTGCATCGGAAGCGTGAACCCAGTTGTGATGGGCAGCTGTTTCGACTTCATTGTTCTATTCACTGCAACTTGGGCAGCAGAAGAAGCACGGTATGTAAGTTTGACTGTCAAAGTTCGTTAATGGCATGGATACAACCACGTAGCACCAGTCTTTGTTGCTATGCCATGCCAATGGAGGACATATTGCCAACTGCAGTTCGAGTTTGGCTGAATTCTTCTCGACACAGAACAGCTTTCTGAAACCAGGACGGTTCGATAAAACAGGTACCACAAACAAGGTCTGTTCTTGAGAACGCCGCTTCTGAACTTGTTTCTGTTGCCACTGGCTGACGTTGCTGGCACGGGTCTGGTGGTGGTGAAGTTGCTGCTACTGCTGCGGTTGCTTCTGCAGCCGCCGCTGCTGCTGCTGCTGTTGCTGCTTGCGCCGTTGCAGCTGTTGATGCTGATCTTGCTTCACGAATGCAACATGATCGTCGCCCGATGGGGACGACGACTCCAAAGCCGAAGCTCAAAGTGGTGGTGGCCGTATGCTGTGGTCATACGGTGGAGGGTGCGGTGCTGGCTGTGGCAACCGGTAGGCTGCCGGGCCCGCGATTTTCCGTGCATCACACGCAGCTGTGCAGGGCGGGCACGGAAGGATACACAAGTGTATAGAAAGGGGCACGAGTCTGCTTTTGTGCTTATGGTTCCTGTATAGCGATGACAATGGAAGGAGGGTCCAGCAACAGCAGCGGCGTGAGCGTCTGGCAGAGGAGTGGGTTAGGGGGCAAGGTTTCGCAGGAGGGACCAGGCAAATCGCATCGTGTGGCACGAGTGATAGTCACGGACTTACAGTCTATACCTACATTAGATGTGCTGTTCTTTTCGGGGGGATTTTTTAACCAAGGTCGAGCATTGAGCCTCAGAACTGAATTCCTGAGTTAGAAAACATCGGATCCATCTATTGCTTCAAACACTGTCATATTGCCATGTACACATGCATCCTTCCATCCCTCTTGCTATTCGACATGCAATTCAGTGTCGTGTAAGGCATTGCACTGCAAGGTCTTCCAGCATGTACATGATGCATTGTGCATGAGAGTTGTGTGCAGTGTTCAATCATGCAGTGGATGGGCCAGCTCTTGCCTGTCTTGTTATCACGTAATGATGTAGTGCAGTGCAGCACACTGCAACACCATGCAAGGGTGTAGCCCAAAATCCCAAGCGATTGTTGGCATCAGTAGTGGGAGTGCGTCTCCCTGTGGGCATATATATATGTATGTATATCTCTGTGTGTGTGTGTGTGTGTGTTTGTGTGTGTGTGTCTGTGTGTGTGTGTGCGTGTGTGGGTGAGTTTGGCAACGGTAAGTTGTCGGAGAAGTCGCAACCTTTTGCTCGTTCTTGAGAAAGCCTGCAGGGATTTGACAAGGTTCCCCTGTGGCTTTGACTTCGCCGATGCGTTCCGAAAAGACTAGGAACTGCAAAGCAACCAACTGATGCATTTGCTCGGAAAAGGCGGAATTGTGCAATCATGTGGCCAGAAAGTTGTCACTTCTCGGGTTTCAGCTTTTTGTTACCGATAGCGGATAGGGGCTGTGGCATCAATCGGTTGCTTCACGCCCTGCCTCGTGTGACGATGCCCTCCGAGAGCAGTGCAAAGTCTGCTCCTTTCCTTTGTTGCCCTCTAATTCTTGATGCAGTACAAGCAGCTGAATCACCCGGCCCAGAGGCGCTCGGTGTACGGTACCGACCGGCACGGGTTCAATCATGAAACTAGCTAGTTGGATTGAGAGCTCGGGGAGCAGGCGCATACATCCAGGCCAGGACTCGTAAACCCGGAGGTTTGAAAACGGAAATCCTGAAAGCCTAAACCCCAACTCTGAACTGAAAAATGCAAACGCAAAGCCCTAAACCCTGACAAAAGCTTGACACCTGAAAGGAACGACAGGATGACTTGCGAGCGATGCTCAAAGAGTGCGGATGCCGAGTCCGTTCTTCCCGAACGTTGAGCCATTTGCGGCGGTTTACGGCTTTTGAGTTTCGGGTTCTTTTGCTTCGGGGAACTTCGGGGTTGTTGAAGGATTGAGGGCTTGAGGTTGTCTTGTTTCAGGGCTTCTTATTTGGGGTATTTCTTCTTTTGGTTTTGCGGTTTGCGGTCTCGGGTTGTAGGGTTCATAGCTTTATTCTTTGGGTTTCGGGCTTTTGCAGCCGGGAGTTTGTGGTCTCAATTAGGGCTTGGGGTGAATTCGGGCTTTGTGGTGTGCATTTTGAGGCTCAGGCTTTTTTGCTTTATTATATTTTTTTATAATTGTTTGGTGCTTAGGCCCGAAACTCGTAAGGTGTTGGGGTCCAGGGATTCGTGGTTGTGGAAAGAGGGGTTTCAGGGACAAGGCTTGCAGGGTCATGGCTTTGTGGCTTCGTGTGCACTTTGTTGTTTTGGTGATTTCGGGTGACGATGACGACTCTGGTGATTATTGTGCTTGTCTTTTTCACTTGTGCGACCAGCGCTCTACTTCCTTCGGCTTCTATGTTGGCAGTCAAAATACTACGGTTGTTGATGATGCCGAAGATGGTGAGACTGGTGATGATGATGAAGATGATGATGGTGATGATGATGATGATGATAATGAGGTAGACGAAGACTGCCGTTCTCGTCAATCCCGGTGCTTTCGTCTCGTTCTGTAATGTGGCATCAGAAAATACAAGTTTTTGGCTATTTCTCAGTTGAGTTCGACATCTCGAACCGTTTCTGCTCGTTTCGCTTAAACTCGTTTGCCTTACAGCGGGGTTTGTAATAGTCTATACGAAGGCTTGGACTTTAGGGCCAAGGACCAAGGGTTTCCGAGAGCAGCTGAGGCAGAACCTGCATGCAGTACACGGTGAATCGGCTGTCCATGTGGAGGCTTTTGGGAAGTCAGCTGCACCACGTTTGCCAAAATCTTTCGCAAGCATTTGCACTGCATGACATCAGTTCCTTCGGCCACCAGCGCTGGATCACTTTTTGGTTGCCTCTGCCCAAAAAGAAAGCAGTATCGGCTGAGGAAGTTGGCAGGCTCTGCCACCAGTGCTGCTGTCTACCATGCCATCCGTGTCACATGGAGCCATCCTGTCCGCTGTGGCCGGCATGCTGGTTATGGATGGTGGCTCCAACATGGTTGCCGAACTTCTCGGGCAGCCCTTTGCACACGCGGCATGGGGCTGGATGGGCCCAGCGCCATCACCGCCGATGACGCCCACTCCAACCCCTATGCCGTCTCCTCCTCCGCCGAGCCCGCCCCCTCCACCCCCTCCGCCACCCCCGCCTACCTGCGGCACCTGGACGGCTTGGGGTTCTTGCTCTGTGACTTGTGGGACGGGGACGCGCATGCGATCTCGAAGTGGTGGCTGTTCACCTTTCTCGGAATCTGAGTCCTGCAACGCAGGGGTCTGCATTTGTGAGGAGTGGACACAGTGGGGCACATGCTCGGCCACCTGTGGTGGTGGTGCTCGCTCGAGGTCACGGACAGGTGCTTGCCAATCCTTCACAGAGTCCGGGGCTTGTAGCCAGACAGCCTGCCCTGTTCCGACCCCACCTCCGCCTACTTGCAGTGGGTGGGGTCAGTGGTCGGCTTGCAGCGTGAGTTGTGGCGGCGGGACACGCTCTCGGACGCGTTCGGGATCAGGTTGCACCTCCACGCAGCAGTCCGAAGCCTGTAGCACGGAGGCCTGCCCCAACACACCATCCTCGGTCCAATGCGGCACGTGGCAGCCTTGGAGCCCGTGCACCGCCACTTGCGGAGCTGCGAGCCGGATGCGGAGCCGTGGCGGTGAGTGCCAGCCCTTTGTCGAGTCAGAAGACTGCGGTCTTCCCACCTGCCCAGCGCCCACGCCCCGACCATCTCCCACACCCACGCCAACACCCACGCCAGCACCCACGCCCACGCCATCCCCCACGACCACCACGACCTCCACCAGCACCACCACAACAGCATCCACGTCGACGCCCAGCCCGAGCCCAACTCCAAGCCCGAGCCCCTCTCCATCAGGCTCCATCAGTCCAAGAGCTTCCGTGGTGGAGGTCAGGGTCCGCATTTCCGCAGACTTTGCCGAAGCCAGCCGTGATCTTGATGGGTTTCGGTCGGGCTTCAGAAAGGGCGTTGCTGACGCCGGTGGCATTTCTGAAGATCGCGTCATCGCACTGCGCTCAGCTTGAAGCATGTCCCGAGCAAGGCAGAACTCGCTCCCGCAGCATGCAGTCGATGTCCGTGTCGAGGTGCGAGAGATCTCTCAGGGATCCATCGTCGTGTCTTGGTTTCCCAACATTAGCCGACTTCTCTGACAAGCTGCATTGGCTGGAACAAGCAAACCAGTGCAGAGTGTAGGCATGTCCTGGTGAGTATCCATGGACCAGCTGCATTCTGGGGTAGCATCTGGAATTGCACAACGACGGTGTGCAACAACGGCAAATTGTGCAGCAACAGGTGGACTTCGTCGTCGTTGGCGCAAGGACTCCCGATGAATCAGCGGCGTCCATGGCCGTGCAGGAGATTTCTTAGGAACTGAATCTTGACTCCGCATTCTATGCGCCTGCACCACACAAAGCCAGCTGTACTAACTATGTGAAGTAGCCTGCTGCTCGCTATTGTTCTTGCAAAAACTCGTCGTAGCAGTTGTTGTATGTATGTGTGTATGTATGTATGTATGTATGCATGCCAAATGTATGTCTGTATGTATGTATGTATGTATCGAAACGCATGTCCCTCATTTTGCGCTCGCCGAAGCTAGACCTTCTGCAGCGTCGAAAGTGAAAAGTATGTATGTATATATGTATGTATGTATGTATGTATGTATGTATGTATGTGTGTGTATATATATAAATATCAAAAATTAATTATATATATATGTATGTATGTATGTATGTATGTATGTGTGCATGTATGTATGTATGTATGTATGTATGTATGTATGTATGTACAAAACGCACATACACACAAACCCGGCTTCGAAGCAATGCTATTGCTAGCAACTATTGTGCAAGTCTTGATCGCATTGGACAAAGCTGGGTGGGCCTTGCTCCGGGGAGGCAGAGCTTGAAGGAGACCCGGCTTTTGTAAAGGGCTTTCTGCTGTTGGCAGTTTTTGGTATTCGCGTTTCTTTCTGCTCTGTCAGAGAATCATGCACGTACAGCCCTTTCTGACTACAAGATGCAGTGAACCCAAGACTCTTCATTCTCCCTCTCGCGCTCTCTCTCTCTCTCTCTCTCTCTCTCTCTCTCTCTTACAAAGGTCCCACCACGACTCTAAGCTTCGATGCCAGATAGTCGCAGATGGTGGCCCAAGCGATGGTGCTGCGCAGGGGAAGTGTACCACGGTGCCTAAATTGGTTGAACATGACTTGCTTCCAAGGGTCTGCTGCAACAAGAAGGCCGAAACCGGCATACTCCCTACGTGCACTACACTGTGACCCCTCGATACTAACCCATCCTGAGACTCGCCGACGCAGGAAGTGGAAAACAAAATGCGGGATGCGACTTACAGCTGGCCGTCCGCCATCCAGACCGTCATGGTAGCTTCGATGTAATTTAGACTAAGTCGCCAAGTTTTGAATGCGTACTTGCGAGCAGTTCGATCTCCACAGTGACAGCTCGCGGTTGATGACTTGGAGCCCCGGCCCACACACTTCCATATTGGGGCGGCTAAGGCCCCGAAGCCGAAACCCCACACTCCGGGAGCCTGAAGCCCTAAACAAAGAAACCCTCACACGTAGCGATGCTCGAACCTTGGCTAGGCCTCCGGTGTCACGGTGGAGTCCCGTGCCACGCGAGACATGGATCAGGAGTGGCTGTGTGGGGGCTCACAGTTTCGAAAAACTGCTTCAAGCTGCTTCCACAAGGTTGATGATGCCTGTGTTTTCATCTAGCTTCATGGGTTTGCACCTGCAAGCTTTGTGCTGCTCTTGGATTCACCTTCAATGCTAAGCCCCGTACAAATCAAGACCCCTAGACCCACAATCCTCTACACAGATCCATCAGGCGTTCAGGTCAATCAAAACAGAAACTGACCGGAAGAAAATGACCGCTGACCGACGGTCACGTTATCCGGCAGACAGCTTCGTCCAATGATAGCAGATAGCAACAGTACTTTGAATAGCAGTAGCAACAGAAACAGTGATGTGTTAGCCAACGGTCCTCTGTTTGTTGGCGGTCCTCATTATGACTCATTGTAATACTTTGATCGACTAGTTTCGAGACTCCTGGGAAGGAACAGTTGGATGTCATGGCGATGCAGACGAGTGGAACAGCTTCTTGGCACAATCTTGCCAATCTGCCTTTCGCCGGGTTTGGTTTGACCCCAGATATTGAGACGCGTTCATCAGTGACTCTACAAGTGACTATAAGTTGGGTTCAACCGCGAAAACGGGGCTCACCCTCACGTTGCATGCTCATCGGCTAACCGTTCTGGTGTAGGTTTCACCCAGTTGTCTTGTCCAATGCACAGAAGCCTGAATACACACAAGGTCCCCCAGACCCTTGGCATACAAATTGAAAAAGCATGACTAATATAACTAACATAACCTCTTCCGCGGCCACCAAGCATCGAAAGTTCAAGTTTTCTCGGAACAAGTATTGCGGATCCCAAGTCTCAGCAAATTGCACACACATGGAAATGTACTGTACGAGGCAAGAGTTTTGAAGAGACCTGTGTGGCATGGCGACCAAGAGTGTGTGATTGAGGTCTTCATGACTCCACTGGACGGCTACCGAGCGCCTGCCGACTGCTCCTGCGTCGAAGGTGCTGGCGTCACCGCAGGTTGCGCGAAGCACAAGGGCCTTTCGCCACCGCCACACAGCTGCGAAGAGAAGGTACTCAAAGATTTCAGCTTGCCATTGCATACCACTTCCCACTGGCACGACTCACCACTTCTCGATGCGATTCACTACTACTTACTGCTACTGCTACCGACAGCAGCAGCACCACGACCACGACAACGACCACGACGACGACCACGACTACCGCCTGTACGACGACGACTACCGCTACAGCACCACTGCTGCAGCTGCTGCTACTGCTGCTACTACTACTACTACAACAACAACTACTACTACTACTACTGCTACTGCTACTGCTACTGCTACTGCTACTGCTGCTGCTGCTGCTACTACTACTACTCCTCCTCCTCCTACTCCTACTTCTGCTGCTACGGCTACTTCTGCTGCTACTGCTACTGCTACTCCTGCTGCTGCCCTACTGCTACTGCTTCTGCTGCAGCTGCGGCTGCGGCCATGGCTACTGCTACTTCCGCTGCTCCTGCTATTGCTGCAGCTACGTACAATGTTGATGCTTTTGTGAACATGCTTGAAGCTTCGAAGCAACAGAAAGACATACTCTGTTTGCGTGAAGATGCGGTGCGTGCAAGCTTCCGCAATGGGCATCAATGCTTTCATTGCCTTGAAATTCACGCAACCTATGAGACAAACCTATGTTCTCTATCAACGACTAATAACCAGGTGTATTCGGCATGTGACCCTAAGGAAACACCGTAAATACCGAAGGAAACGGGACGTCGGTTGCGCACCAGACCAATACGTCTGGAGGGAACAACCACAGATCAATAAATGTTTGTCCATATGTGCGTCTTTCCGTGCGACTCTGCATCTAGTGCACGATTATGCAAGCTTTCGGTTGGCAGGAAAGGGGAAGGCTCGATTCCGAGAAGGGGCTGCAATCTCAAAAGCTTTTCAGGTTGTCATTGTGCTGAGCGCACAATCTCGGATCCTTTGTCGCCAAGCCCGCCAAATCGCAAAACCCACCAATGCGCGGAACTCCAAAGTATTTTCTCCGCGCGTACCGCACATTTCTTGACACAGCACATACAGTCCGCACATTTCTGAGGTGGTGCCTCGTGGCCTTTGACTGTTCGGCACGCATGGAGGCTCCACGAGGGGGGTGTAAGCACATGAAACCAAAGTTCATCTAGTTCTTCGAATCCCTGAGTTAAACCTGCAGCCTACCCCATCTGAGGCGCGGCCCGAAACAGTGCCTCCACAGACGACGTAACCCTTCAATCTGAGAAACCCCTAAATCCCAAGCCCTTCTCCGCACGGGAAGCACTCCAAAGTAGTCGTATGTCCCAAAGACTGTAAACTTTAACTTTTACTTCTACGAAGTCGAAGCTAATGATCGCACGGGGACGAACGGGCCGAACGGCCTTGAAATCCTTCAGTTCGGCCCCTAACCCTGAACCGCTAGACTCAGAATGTTTCTGGGTGTCGGGTTTTCGGGCTCCTCGCTTCTCCTTCCTCCTCCCTCTTTCTCCGTCCTCCAGTAGCAGCAGGTGGTCGCAGTCGTCGTAGTAGTAGGTACTAGTTAGTAGTAGAAAGTAGTAAGTAGTAAGTAGTAAGAGGAGTAGTAGTCGTCGTCGTTGTTCCAGGTGATGATGAGTAGCGAATAGCGTATGATATCGGAAGCTCCGTGAGTCTCGTGATTTGCAAAGGGGGCCCAGGGTGCCTGGGCCTGGTGTGTCGCAAGCGACGGCGCTCCTCAGGCGGGGAGAGTTGTTTGTAGATATGATCTGTGGAGGGTTGAGTTCACAACCTTCTTTTAATTTGGTATTGTGGGGCTTATAAAGTAGTGCATTGCCACTTTGGCAAAGTCGTGTTTCTGGAAGTTGTAGAGGTTGGAAGTTTCAGGAAAGTTTGTTCAGATCGTGAGTGAAGTCTCCTTATGAATCTACTTGCCATGTTGCAGCTTCTGAGAAGCGGTCCAGCATCGCGATCTGCAAGCCTAGACCATGTACATGCTGGTCGTAGTTGAAACCAGAACCCCAGACGTCTCACGTCGAATGGCCAGGACAAGAAGCTTGGTGTGACTTCGCTCGTGCAGTCCAGCGACAGCCTGGGCGGTGGTGCGTTGCTTCCCGTGGCTGTGCTCCTGGCCTACAGACTCCTCTGAGACTGGCCAGCGTGACTTGCCACACTTTGCGGCGAGAAGAAGACAGAAGAAGCGTAGTTCGTTACAAGGGATCTGTGTCAGATCTTTTGGGTTCTGTGCCCGAAGGTTCACTGGACTAGGTGACTTTTTCTGTGGCACCTGCATGCGGAGGCATGCTGTGTTAATGTCTTATACATTCGACGAAGCTTCCTGCTCGGGGTCCCGCATAGTGCGATGTATGCATGCTTTCACCAGATGAAGAGGCAGTGCAAGAACTCTAGTCTCACTTCCTGAAACCCCCTCCAACCATTGCGCCCGAGATCCCCAAGATGCCATCCTGGTGTAATGGGCCTAGGCCGACTTTGCCCTTGAAAGCCTGAGCATACCAAAGTTCTGGTGCTCGACGGGAAAACCTCAAACGAGGCCCAGGCGCTCACCATCGTCTCGTCCGCCTTTCTCAGCCTAGCACGCTTGCCTAGGGCGGTGAACGTGAAAGGAGGCGCTTGATTTTTCAGGAAGCGCTTCGACTTCGTTTTCAGCATCTCGCCGTAAGGCGAGGTTGCTTTTATGTGCTTTGCAGAACCTTTGATGTCCGTGGACTGAACCACCAGTGCACACCTCTTGGGGCCCATTACTGAGAATATCAGGGCTTTGAAAGCCTTGCCGGTTCACAGAAGACTTCATTAAACTATATGGTTGCACTGGCTTCTGGTAATCAGGACTTGGAACTGGCGGCATTTGCGAAGAAATTTGATATTTGACTACCGAACCTCGCTGGTATAGGCCAGTAAAAGTAGAACGACAACTTGGTGAGACGCCTGCTCGTTGGTAGAGTGTAATCATGAGTACGCTCCCACGAAAAATTTCGCAGAGCCCTGTTTCATGACCCTCCATGCACGATCCTAACCCTAGACCTTAAGCCTAGGAGCAGATCCGAGAAGTGATCCCTGAGTTTGAGAAAGCCTGTGCTGTGGGAAGTTCGGTCCCGCGCAGAGCGCCTTTCCGTTGTGCTCGTGCCAATGTCTGAAAGTAAGGGAGGTGTCGCAGCATTGGGAGGGGCAGAGGGGCTTACTGTTCATGGGCTGCAGGTTGAGCCTGAAGAGTGTTTTTTTTTCAGCATCTTTAGCAGCATCAGAATCACATAGAGATTTCTGACTTGGGATTCAAGGTCACTGAGTGCTAAAGGAATCCTGGTTTGTTGGCAGGGTTTTTGATTCCACAAGGAGTAGACCGCCAAGGGAGAGGTTCGTCGGAATGTTGGTTTTAGGGGTGCCTTGAATATTGTATCTTACACGCCCGAAGCATGGAACGTCAACTACGCTAGATCTAAACGCACCCTCCAGAAAAGTTTCAGCTGATTGGAGCCTTGCTTCTTATCGCACAACGTAAGCAAGACCTGATGCCGATGAGCTGACGATGAAGACCATGAATGCTGTTTGGTTCAGGGCTTCGGGTTCAGGCTTGGGATCATGACACTTGGTGGTTGTCATTCTTATATCTGCTTTTGTGCTGCGCAGAATTTCTGACCTTTGGACGGTCGGCGACAATGGCACAAGCCTACATCTCTTCAATCTCTTCCTCCGCAGCGCTCGTTCGCATTCTTACACCCGTGCCTTGTGGCACTTCTTGCGTTCGCGGACTGCTTGGAAAAAGCATTGCATCGCAGGAGTTGCAGGTAATCAGGGGTTGGGTTTTGTTTATGGCGTGTGAGTCGTTTTTGCATGGTGCCAGCGAAGCTATTTGTGTTTTGTTTTGGGTTTCGCCGCCCATTGAGGTCTTGGTGGCGACACCAACATGCTCACTTGGGGTCTCCGTTCCTGCTTTGCACGGACTGCGTGACAGGGAAACCCTTAAACCACTGCTTCGAGGCCAAAAATCTTGGGAAATGAGAGCTTCTCAGAGTTTGGTTTGCAGACAACAGCAAGAGCCGCTTGCAAGCCCAAATCTCGAGAAATTCGAGCGTGTACGAACATCAGCAGTTTTCTGAGGTGTTGCCTTGAGGTGTTGTTTGGTATCAGGGAAGCAAGGAACAGTGGTACATGATTCGATACATGACTCACGTAACCGTAGATCCAAGTTCCGAGTGGGACTGCCTGAGCAGCTGCAGGCGTTGCGAAGGCAGCGAATGCAACTCGACGAGAGGCGCGCAAGGAGTGTAATGGCAGTGTCTTTGCGATGATCCTTTCGTTTCGCCAGACTGTCACGGGGTTCTGTCAGGTTTCCGATCATTGGCACCTTATTTTTTTTAGCATCCGCTTCAGGACGTTAGGACGACAGTGTTCCCTTGACCCCAGCCAACCGGGAGCGAGGAGAGTCGTGATGATGATGATGATGATAATGATGATACTGATGATGATGGCGTCGACAACGATCGTGGCGGTGATGGTCTTTACCATCACTGCAACCGTTCCAACACCACTTCCACCACCGCTGATTCTCACTACCACTACTACCCACTACTGCCACTAGTACCGGAACTACCACTACAGCCACTACAGCCACCACGGCCACGACTGCTGCCACTGCCACTACTGCTACTGCCACTGCTATTGTTACTGTAATACTATATAATACTACTGCTACTCTTACTACTACTACTACTACTACTACTCTTACTACTACTACTACTACTACTACTACTACTCCTTCTACTACTACTACTACTACTACTACTACTCTTACTACTACTACTCTTACTACTACTACTACTACTACTACTACTACCTCTTACTACTACTACCTCTTACTACTACT